TAAATCCAGCTGCTCGCTCGTGACGCGTGTAACACAATACTGTACGTACTACACGTTTATATGTACTTGTATGACTCTATCCTATATATAAAACTCTAGGTATATATATACACACACTAAAAAAAAATCCCTGAAAATCCTTAACAGACTGTTGGGACAAGTGCTGTTAGCGAGCAGCACCTATGAAGGCCGGCACGGCACACGAGGGGGTGGGTGGCCAGCACCACTCCCGGCTGCCTTTGTCTCCCCAGTGGCGATGTTTACACCACACCAGGTACTCATTTGAGGCTGAGTCGACCTAGGGGGAGGCCCAGGACCGGTTCAGATATTCATCACTGGTGTTGGTGGCCGTGAGCGGGACTCGAACTCGGCGCGCTCACTTCGTCCTCAACACACGTGCGGGAGTGAAACCCCACCACATGTACTCGAGTTAAACATATGACAGACATGCAAGGATCGTCCCTAGTCTTGTGTGGGATGGCGTTTTTAAACGAGGAAAAACAATGCGCTATTAAGGGATCAGTGCCCGAAACGTCGACTATTATACTTTTTTTAGGTTGTTGTTGTTGGGTTGTTGGGTGCCGTTAAACCTTCTACTACCCGACACAGCCGCTTAGTGAGGTGAGTCACTCAAACAAAACTAGCAACTACGACTCGAAGTAGTAATTACGAGTAGTCGTTACTCGTGCAGCGCACCGGCGATCAAACCACGACAAGACTTCTGCCGTGGATGAGATAGCTCGCGAAAGCCGACAACGTGTTACACGATTACCATTCGTTTTCTTTTAAAAGCCACGCAAGAGTTGTTAATAACACGGAGGGTGTTTGAATTTGTCTGTGAATTGTGTCAACACAGCAGCAGCAGGAGCAGTAAATCACCTGGTTCGTATGAACGAGGAATGCCGTCATTAATGGACCGAATCGAATTTGCGACCCCCAATCTACTCGAGTAAACGGAACTTTTGCTCAGCATCGGTGCCTCCCGCTGGTACCGATGAGTCCTAATAACGACAAGAACCGGCGTGGAGTGTTTCACGGTGAGTGGCACGTGTTATGCGGTGAGTGTTTAGTGGCGAGTATCACGTGGCGAGTATAGCGGTGGTGGTGACTGCAACGGTGACTGATGAGTCTTAATAACGACGAAACCGATCCACAGGAACGTCTCTTCGAGTGATGCGGTGAGATTTGAGTGGCACCCATTCGTGTTCACGCTGTGGGTTAAACGAATCGATCCTCCCTTCTCCCACGTCCGAATGGATCCCCTGAAGCGGCCACGCCCGGCCGCCTTTGTCTTCCGCCCCGGTGGCGATGTTTGCTACACGCGGCATCGGGGTACTAATTTAAGGCTGAGTCGACCTAAGAGGGGGAGCAGGACCGAATCAGACTATCGTCACTTCTGTTGACCGGTGGCCACGTGGAGCAGGACTCGAACTCGGGTGGCCTGGGTTCCGCAGCGCGCTAACCGCTGCGCCACCGCTCCCTTTGTAAAAAGCCACGGGGACACCCCCAGCACCCCCTTGTGTCGTGAGTGTCACGTGGTGAGTGTCGTGTGGTGAGTGTCACGTGGTGAGTGTCGTGATGGTGAGTGTCACGTGGTGAGTGTCACGTGGTGGTGAGTGTCACGTTGTGGTGAGTGGTGAGTGTCGTGGTGGTGAGCGTCACGTGGTGAGTGTCACGTGGTCAGTGTCGTGGCGAGTGTCAGTGTGGTGAGTGTCGTGGTGAGTGTCACGTGGTGAGTGTCACGTGGTGGTGAGTGTCGTGGTGGTGAGTGTCACGTGGTGAGTGTCGTGGTGAGTGTCACGTGGTGGTGAGTGTCACGTGGTGGTGAGTGTCGCGTGGTGAGTGTCACGTGGTGGTGAGTGTCACGTGGTGGTGCGTGTCACGTGGTGGTGTGTGTCACGTGGTAAGTGTCTCTCGTGGTGAGTGTCTCTCGTGGCGAGTGTCAGTGTGGTGAGTGTCAGTGTGGTGAGTGTCTCTCGTGGCGAGTGTCAGTGTGGTGAGTGTCAGTGTGGTGAGTGTCTCTCGTGGTGAGTGTCTCTCGTGGCGAGTGTCAGTGTGGCGAGTGTCAGTGTGGTGAGTGTCAGTGTGGTGAGTGTCTCTCGTGGTGAGTGTCTCTCGTGGTGAGTGTCAGTGTGGCGAGTGTCAGTGTGGTGAGTGTCAGTGTGGTGAGTGTCAGTGTGGTGAGTGTCTCTCGTGGCGAGTGTCAGTGTGGTGAGTGTCAGTGTGGTGAGTGTCTCTCGTGGTGAGTGTCTCTCGTGGCGAGTGTCAGTGTGGCGAGTGTCAGTGTGGTGAGTGTCTCTCGTGGCGAGTGTCAGTGTGGTGAGTGTCAGTGTGGTGAGTGTCTCTCGTGGTGAGTGTCTCTCGTGGTGAGTGTCAGTGTGGCGAGTGTCAGTGTGGTGAGTGTCAGTGTGGTGAGTGTCTCTCGTGGCGAGTGTCAGTGTGGCGAGTGTCAGTGTGGTGAGTGTCTCTCGTGGCGAGTGTCTCTCGTGGTGAGTGTCAGTGTGGCGAGTGTCAGTGTGGTGAGTGTCAGTGTGGTGAGTGTCTCTCGTGGTGAGTGTCTCTCGTGGCGAGTGTCAGTGTGGCGAGTGTCAGTGTGGTGAGTGTCAGTGTGGCGAGTGTCAGTGTGGTGAGTGTCTCTCGTGGCGAGTGTCTCTCGTGGTGAGTGTCAGTGTGGCGAGTGTCAGTGTGGTGAGTGTCTCTCGTGGCGAGTGTCTCTCGTGGTGAGTGTCAGTGTGGTGAGTGTCAGTGTGGTGAGTGTCTCTCGTGGTGAGTGTCTCTCGTGGTGAGTGTCAGTGTGGCGAGTGTCAGTGTGGTGAGTGTCAGTGTGGTGAGTGTCTCTCGTGGTGAGTGTCTCTCGTGGTGAGTGTCAGTGTGGCGAGTGTCAGTGTGGCGAGTGTCAGTGTGGCGAGTGTCAGTGTGGTGAGTGTCTCTCGTGGTGAGTGTCTCTCGTGGTGAGTGTCAGTGTGGCGAGTGTCAGTGTGGTGAGTGTCAGTGTGGTGAGTGTCTCTCGTGGTGAGTGTCTCTCGTGGTGAGTGTCAGTGTGGCGAGTGTCAGTGTGGTGAGTGTCAGTGTGGTGAGTGTCTCTCGTGGCGAGTGTCAGTGTGGCGAGTGTCAGTGTGGTGAGTGTCTCTCGTGGCGAGTGTCTCTCGTGGTGAGTGTCAGTGTGGCGAGTGTCAGTGTGGCGAGTGTCAGTGTGGTGAGTGTCAGTGTGGTGAGTGTCTCTCGTGGCGAGTGTCAGTGTGGTGAGTGTCAGTGTGGTGAGTGTCTCTCGTGGTGAGTGTCTCTCGTGGCGAGTGTCAGTGTGGCGAGTGTCAGTGTGGTGAGTGTCAGTGTGGTGAGTGTCAGTGTGGCGAGTGTCAGTGTGGTGAGTGTCAGTGTGGCGAGTGTCAGTGTGGTGAGTGTCTCTCGTGGTGAGTGTCTCTCGTGGCGAGTGTCAGTGTGGCGAGTGTCAGTGTGGTGAGTGTCAGTGTGGTGAGTGTCAGTGTGGTGAGTGTCAGTGTGGTGAGTGTCTCTCGTGGTGAGTGTCTCTCGTGGCGAGTGTCAGTGTGGCGAGTGTCAGTGTGGTGAGTGTCTCTCGTGGCGAGTGTCAGTGTGGTGAGTGTCAGTGTGGTGAGTGTCTCTCGTGGTGAGTGTCTCTCGTGGCGAGTGTCAGTGTGGCGAGTGTCAGTGTGGTGAGTGTCAGTGTGGTGAGTGTCAGTGTGGTGAGTGTCAGTGTGGTGAGTGTCTCTCGTGGTGAGTGTCTCTCGTGGCGAGTGTCAGTGTGGCGAGTGTCAGTGTGGTGAGTGTCAGTGTGGTGAGTGTCTCTCGTGGCGAGTGTCAGTGTGGCGAGTGTCAGTGTGGTGAGTGTCAGTGTGGTGAGTGTCTCTCGTGGCGAGTGTCTCTCGTGGTGAGTGTCAGTGTGGTGAGTGTCAGTGTGGTGAGTGTCTCTCGTGGCGAGTGTCAGTGTGGTGAGTGTCAGTGTGGTGAGTGTCTCTCGTGGCGAGTGTCAGTGTGGTGAGTGTCAGTGTGGTGAGTGTCTCTCGTGGTGAGTGTCTCTCGTGGCGAGTGTCAGTGTGGCGAGTGTCAGTGTGGTGAGTGTCAGTGTGGCGAGTGTCAGTGTGGTGAGTGTCTCTCGTGGTGAGTGTCTCTCGTGGTGAGTGTCAGTGTGGCGAGTGTCAGTGTGGTGAGTGTCAGTGTGGCGAGTGTCAGTGTGGTGAGTGTCTCTCGTGGTGAGTGTCTCTCGTGGCGAGTGTCAGTGTGGTGAGTGTCAGTGTGGTGAGTGTCAGTGTGGTGAGTGTCTCTCGTGGCGAGTGTCAGTGTGGTGAGTGTCAGTGTGGTGAGTGTCAGTGTGGTGAGTGTCTCTCGTGGCGAGTGTCAGTGTGGTGAGTGTCAGTGTGGTGAGTGTCTCTCGTGGTGAGTGTCTCTCGTGGCGAGTGTCAGTGTGGCGAGTGTCAGTGTGGTGAGTGTCAGTGTGGTGAGTGTCAGTGTGGCGAGTGTCTCTCGTGGTGAGTGTCTCTCGTGGCGAGTGTCAGTGTGGCGAGTGTCAGTGTGGCGAGTGTCAGTGTGGTGAGTGTCAGTGTGGTGAGTGTCAGTGTGGTGAGTGTCAGTGTGGTGAGTGTCTCTCGTGGTGAGTGTCTCTCGTGGCGAGTGTCAGTGTGGCGAGTGTCAGTGTGGTGAGTGTCAGTGTGGTGAGTGTCAGTGTGGCGAGTGTCTCTCGTGGTGAGTGTCTCTCGTGGCGAGTGTCAGTGTGGCGAGTGTCAGTGTGGCGAGTGTCAGTGTGGTGAGTGTCAGTGTGGTGAGTGTCAGTGTGGTGAGTGTCAGTGTGGTGAGTGTCTCTCGTGGTGAGTGTCTCTCGTGGCGAGTGTCAGTGTGGCGAGTGTCAGTGTGGCGAGTGTCAGTGTGGTGAGTGTCAGTGTGGTGAGTGTCTCTCGTGGTGAGTGTCAGTGTGGCGAGTGTCAGTGTGGTGAGTGTCTCTCGTGGCGAGTGTCAGTGTGGTGAGTGTCGTGGTGCCTCCTCCTCACCCACGGCTCCGAGGAGCGCTGCCGCCAGGAGGCGATGGAGCCACACGCGGGAGGACATCGCCACTGCTGCTGCTGCCGCGACCTCCGTGTGGTTGACGATTTGGGACGTTCCTCCAAGAGCACGAAGCAGCGCAGGAGAAGGGAGCCAGCAACCACCACCACCAGCACTACCACCACCACCAGTACCACCACCAGCAACCACCACCAACCAGTACCACCACCAGCAACCACCACCACCACCAGCACTACCACAACCAGTAGCGAGACCACCACCACCAGTACCACCACCAGCAACCACCACCAAACAGTACCACCACCAGCAACCACCACCACCAAAACTACCACCACCAGCACTAACACCAGTACCACCACCACCAGCACTACCACCACCACCAGTAGCGAGACCACCAGTACCACCAGCAACACCAGCAGCAGCAGCAGCGGTAGCAGCGGTAGCAGCAGCGGCAGTGTGTGCGAGTGGCCCGCAAGGAGGCGAGGTGGTTTTGTCGGCTCGGCTACCCCCCCCCTCGCCCCCCCTCCGCGGGTCCCCGGGAGCCGCGCGGGCTGCGCAGCGCCCCCCTCTGCCGCCTCTGCGGCCGTGGGGACGCTCCGCCGCTCGGCCGCCTTCAGCGGATTCACTGCCGTGACCGGGACCCGGTGTCCGCCGGTCGTGTTAGACTCTGTGTGTTAGACTCCTCCGCGTGTTAGACTCCGCGTGTTAGACTCCGTGTGTTAGACTTTGCGTGTTAGACTCTGTGTGTTAGACTCTGTGTGTTAGACTCCTCCGCGTGTTAGACTCCGCGTGTTAGACTCCGTGTGTTAGACTCCGCGTGTTAGACTCTGTGTGTTAGACTCTGTGTGTTAGACTCCGCGTGTTAGACTCTGCGTGTTAGACTCTGTGTGTTAGACTCTGCGTGTTAGACTCTGTGTGTTAGACTCCGTGTGTTAGACTCTGTGTGTTAGACCATGCGTGTTAGACTCTGTGTGTTAGACTCCGTGTGTTAGACTCATCCGCGTGTTAGACTCCTCCGCGTGTTAGACTCCTCCGCGTGTTAGACTCTGTGTGTTAGACTCCGCGTGTTAGACTCTGTGTGTTAGACTCCGCGTGTTAGACTCTGTGTGTTAGAATTCGCGCGTTAGACGCTGCGGGCCAGATCGCCCTCCAGAAACAACTGAGAGGACATCGGAGCGACACTCACAACAACGAAGCGGAGCGCCGGGCCGATAAAGTGCAGCGAGTTGGCGCAGTGGGGGGGGGGGGGGGGGGGGGGTCGCAAATGATCGCTCAACAAAGTGGGCGTATAATGTGTAAATGTGTAGCAGCCAAATAATAGAATCTAAATGAATAGCCCACAGCTGGGCGCGTCTGCCATCACACCCCACGCAGCAGCCGGCCCCCGGCACCACGCGGGGTCTGCTCCGTGATCCTCCTGCCAGCGGAGCCCGCGACACCTCAACGCGACCCCGGAGTGCACCGAGGGTGGCACGAGCGCCGTGGTGCCGTCGCCGCCTCCTCGAGGGGCGAACGACGGTGGTTTGTTGACGTTGTGCCAACATCAGCACTGCGGGGAGACAAAGGTGGATCTTGCATTGATTTTTTTCTATTTAAGATAATTACATCCAATTGATGATGAGCTTTCACATACCTGTCAACCCATACGGCTTACTCGCATTCTCGTGCAGGACAATTGAGTGTTCAGGTCCAGACGGCGTACAACCGCCACACGGCCGAGTGCGTGAATCCACCTATCAAACAAGCAGCAGCATCAGCATGCAAGATCACAGACAGTAGCACGATAAGTAGCATCATTGACACCAATGATCAGTTTTTGTTTAGCGACATAATTTTGTATTTGTTTGTGTTTCTCCCTTGTGATAGGACTTTGTAGGATGAACGTTGAGAATTATAACGGCCCGGGGTGACCGATGAGGTCTGAATTGGTCTGTAATCAGGTAGGGCACTGACAAGGGGTTGACAGGTATGCGGTTATCATGCAAGTGGGAGGAAATCCCACGCACGTGCAAAGGGACACCACTCTATCCCCACACAGACAGCGGCGAATAGCGATTGGTCCACACTTGCTGTTACTGCAGCTGTTACTGCAGCTGTTACTGCAGCAAGTGTTGACCAAGGGAGTTCCACAACATTTTTGCGGTGATCCAACAACCCCTCGTTACTGTCTGCACAGTGCTGGGTCACAGGGCGGCAGTCACGTGTTGCAGCGGTAACCACCGCCACCACCCGGCTACGTAGCAACACGTGGCCTGTAGCAGCTGCAGCAGCAGCAGCATGCGGTCTCAATTTAAAAGTGCGGCCGAATTGTTTTCACAGGTGTCGCTCGGCTCCAGCAAGCATGAAATATGTGACCGTACGGCACTGTACGAGCACGCTGCCCACTTGTGGACACCGCCTAGACGGTGGAATAATAATGCGAGCGGCGAGTTACCACCGACTCGAGTTTGCCAAGGGCACTTAGAGGTTAGAAAAAAAATGGTCAATAACGCTGGCCCCCAAAGAGGGAAATAACATAACGGGCGACGTTTCAGGCAATGGTCCTGCTTCATAGTGGGAAGATCCAAAGGGCCGAGAGAGAGACCGATTAATAGCTGGAGACTGCACTTTACACAGCACGTGGCCCTGATGGAAATGTCATGTTCGGCGTTTAAAGATAAACGTTCTGGCACGTTATTTAGTAACAGACATAACCTTATATTGCCAAAATAAATCACTGAAATTCTTTTCATCTTATATACATTTCGCTTATATTGTTGGCTTTATGGAGACATACCATAGACATTGAATTTTAAATATTTAGATATTTATCTTACAGATATTGACGGTACGTGTTAAGTGAACGTTGGCAGTAATTCTAAATGTGGATCAATTGAACAGTGTACAAACGACTATCTATTCCTTTCTGTCGCTCTGATTTAACTTTTCCGCATAGTTGTGCTTTGTGTTATGTTATCCCGTTGTGTTTTGTTATCCCTTTGTTTCATGTTATCCCTTTGTGCAGTGTTATCCATTTATGTTGTTATCCCTTTGTGTTATCTCTTTGTGTCATGTTATTCCTGTGTCATGTTATCCCTTTGTGCAGTGTTATCCTTTTGTGTTATCCCTTTGTGTTATCTCTTTGTGTCATGTTATCCCGTTGTGTTATGTTATCCCTTTGTGCAGTGTTATCCCTTGGTGTCATGTTATCTCTTTGTGTCATGTTATCCCGTTGTGCTCTGTTATCGCAATGATGGTGACCCAGGTGACTCTGGCACATGAGACTTCATCCCGTCCTTGCGAGTTCCCCACGAGGACGGTGGACTCAGGCCCACGAGAACATGCAGCAATGGCCCAAGGTGGCGGCTTGGACGGGGGACGCCGAAGGGGCACAGGGGCCCACGTGACGGGAGTGGAGTTGGCGGTTGCGTTGTACGGCCGAAGGCCGCGCGGGACAAGCTTCAGGAGAAGGCCGCCTGATTGAAGTCGGCGAGAGGAGGAGCCCCTTCCGCCCTTGAGACCCACGGCCACCTGCTTCAGGTGTGGTCGGCCGGGCCACGTCGCAAGAGAGTGCCGGAGTGCCAGCGGGATGTTGGCGGCACCGCCGACGCCCTCCACCCTGCCGGCAACTGCTCCCCAAGCCCCTAAGGATCCGAGCCTCTGAGGTCGCCTCTTGCGAGGGATCAGAGGCTGCAGCCCGGTCAAGTTCTGCTGATGAATCCAGGGAGTGGCCGTGCCCTTGAGGTCATTTGTATTTCCCCCAGAGCCCCAAGAAGTGCAAGATCCTGCCCAAGGTGGGGGACCGACGTCAAGGACCCGGTTCATGTGAGCTACGTTCCGGTAATGTGGACTCTCCCTTGTGCTGTGTGATTTGAGGAAAATGGCGTGGTAAGGGTAATGGGTCGTATAGTGTTGTGTGTTGGGTGTTGTTGGTCGGCGGTTGTTGCATGCGCCGCGTGCCAAGTAGTCCCCGGGTGGATCGGTCGTTCTGCTTGTCGGTTCACGGGGACTGTCGTGACTATATATTTTTTGGTTGTATTTTTTGGGGGGTTTTGATGTTCCTCGGTCATGGGATTGCTCTGCCTGTCCACCCAGTTGCGTTGCTGTGTGTCAGCCGGGACGGCTGGTTTTTTAAACAAGGTGGGGGGGGGGGGGGGTGATGTAGTGTAATAGCGTAAGCTGGTGGACAGCAGCAACTGTGGTGTACAGACAGTACACACCAGCCGGTGAGGGCGTGCACGGTGTGTTAGCAGGGCGGAGGAACTAGGGCAAGGGTCGTGGAGGACACCGTTGGAGGCCCCTGGAACCTGCTAGTGGGTTCGAGAAGGGAGGCGCAGCCAGGGCGGAGCCAGGCCGCGTTGGTAAGATAAAAGGAGCCGAGAGCGGGAGTTCGAGGTTGCCGGTTCTGGGATTGGATCATCTCGTCGTCGCTGTCGTCTCGTCGCCGTCGTCGCTGCCGTTTTTACTCGATATTGCGCTGACAGAGAGTTGTTGGCCTGTCTCAGTCAGCGTCGTCAGTGTGAGATGGCTCGTATTGTGTACAGGCGAGGCTAAGCAACTGTAGAGTGTCTAGACGAGACCGTGAATGTTCGAATAAAGAAGGTGCCTCCTAAAAACCTTGTCTGAATCACTGACACTACACACCCATCATTACAAACATTACACACACACGCATTATTACACACGCGTGCTCATTACACATGCACACACGCTGTCTCACACACGCATCATGCTCATCACTTGCACCCCTCACTGGACCACTGTAACCAGTCACGACAAGTACGGGCGACACAGATGTTCGCTGTGCTGAGGTTTTTTATTAGAATCTTCGGCGTAAATGTAATTCAGGATACAATCAAATCTCGTTCAACTCGTGTAATTGGCACGTAATCAGATAACGTGAACAGAAGGATCGTGATTAACATGAAGGGAATTCGTCCATTGGTTATGCTCGATGTCATTAATACGCAATACGGCTGGCGTAAGTTTTGATTTTTGGTTCCGTTGATAACCACGTAAAGGAAAATGTGCGAGATGCTCAGAGTCAAATGGCGGTACGGACGAAAGGGGATGTTCGTGTGTTCTGTCTGTAACATCGTTAGATTATCCACGCTGTCGCGTTAATCAACAAACACCCTTCCTCCCGGTTCACGACGACGAATATCGAAACGATGTAAATCGAAGCGAATTATCAGGGTAGTAGCAGTCGTAGGCAGCGGTGAAGGCTGGAATGACGACGATGCTGTCAGCGACGTTCAGAGTGTGTGGATCGCGGGGGGCGATGCTAGTCTTGGTAGCAGTGTTAGTAGTAAAGTGACGACGGATTTGCGAAACGACGTAAAACGGGGACGAAGTATATTGGGGTATTACTGGTACTGAAATATTGTCACGGGAGCGGTGGCGCAGTGGTTAAAACCAAAACTTTTTTCACCAAACATTTTTTTTTACTAAACTTATTTTTTACCAGGTAAGGCCCACTGAGCTA